TGCCTATCTACGTGAAGTGCAAGTTGACCTTGCCACACAAGGAAGTGCTTGTGGCTGCCTCCTATCTTGAGGGGAGCGCAACACGATGGTTAAGCGGGCTAGTGCAACTGCATGGATATGGACACGACTTCCGCACTTGGGCAGTCAACTTGAAACTGGAGGACTTTCTCAAGATGGTGGAAGATAGGTGGCATGATCTTCAAGAGGCCCAAAAGGCCACTGATGTGATCCTGCCTTTGAGCAACAGACCGTTCAAGTCAGTAAGGGATGCCACAGACGCTGTAGAGCGTCTGATTTGTGTTCCTGGAGTGCGCTATGACCCCCAAGTCTTACTGGCCACTTACCTGAGGTGTCTTCCCATGCCATTCAGGAATCAGTTGCTAGGAGAGGCTAACATCAATATGCACAACTTTCCTTCGTTTAGCAAGAAGGCCCTAGACCTAGATGCAAAGATAGGGCACGGGCACCAACCCACTACGAATGGAAGGAAGAAAACACTGCCTTCCAACTGGAAGGCGAAGGGCCGCATTATGTTCGTTGACAACAATGGTTCTACCATCGAGTTGGACGACGACTTCCATGAGGGAGTAGGTGCAGAGGCGGGCAGCAAGAAGCTTCAGGGGGTGGACCAGTCGCTGCCTCAGTTCAAAAAGGCAAGGCGACCGGTAAACGTCGTGGAGGCTCCCGGTCTAGGAGTCAAGTTGACCCCAATGCTCCTCCATGGGAGAAAGCGGGTCTCACTGAGGACGTGTGGAGAGACCGGTACACCCGACAGACTTGTATCCGTTGTGGCCAATATGGTCATAATCAGTTCAAATGCCGTAAAAAAAAGGTGACCGAAAAGATCCCGCCTACAATGGGGCAGACGACGAGATCCTCCGCTTCCATAGGTAGCAATGTTGCCAGCAGTTCTGAAACTGCTCCGGGAAACACGTCGGGCCAGTAGGAATAGTAGTTCCTGCTAGGGTCGAGGTTGTGGACACACCCTCACCATCTCGAGAGATGGCCCAAGCTACTGACTCCGTTGCCGTTCTGCAAACACATTCGGACCCATCGATCCTCTGTTTGATGAATGTGTTCAAATCCTTAAGAGGAGTTAGAGGAAGAGTGGTCTAGATCAGACCCGCCAGCTTCTTGGACGGCTATGGGCAAGGCCCCTAAGGGTGAGCTGTTCGTTGGCGAGGTAGTCATCGGGGGCCGCAAGGCCGAGGCCTATTATGACACTTGCTCGACACAAAACTTTATTAGTCGCGCGTGCGTTGAGAGGCTGCGCTTACAGGGGCAAGTGCAGCGCCTGAGTCGACCTCTGGAGTCGGCCTGTGCCAACAAACAGCGCATGGTAGTCAACGATTACCTTAAAGATGTTGAGTGTTGTTTCCCATACGCGGGAGGATAACTGAGACATGGAGTCTCATTCCTAGTCAGCGATGATCTCCCAATGGACATCCTGTTAGGTATGTACTATCTTTCGGTTGCACAGCCCCAAGTTTGACTGGGACCGAAAAGTGGTCAAACACACTTTGCCCAGAGGCGGGATCGCCAAATTACATAAGTTTGAGGCTAGTAGTCTGATCGAGTCCTACGGATGCATGTGTGCGGCTGCGTTCTACTTAGTTTATGTCTCTGCAGTAGGCGAGCCAGTGAAAATGCCGCCGGAGATAGAGGGAGTAGTCACTAAATACCCTGATCTATTCGAAGAACCGATAGGGGTTGTTGAGAGGGAGGTTGTCCACGCGATAGAGATTATCCCAGGGTCTAGTATTCCAAAGGGTAGGATCTATCGGATGTCTCCAACGAAGCTTGACGAGCTTCGCCAACAACTCAAGGAACTCATAGAAAAGGGTTGGATCCGGCTGAGCGTTTCCCCTTACCGGTCTCCTGTCTTATTTGTACCAAAGAAGGGGGGAACCTTGAGGATGTGCATTGACTATAGGGCCCTCAATGCCATCACTGTCAAGAATAGAGAGCCCCTGCCGCACATCGATGACTTACTGGACCGAGTGCAAGGGTGCAGGTACTTCATTAAGATAGATTTGAAGTTCGAGTACCATCAGATTGCTATACGGCCCGAGGATCAACACAAAACCGCTTTTCAGACCAGGTACGGTCTGTACGAGTTTGTGGTGATGCCTTTCAGCCTTAGCAATACACCTGGCACCTTTCAGCACGCCATGAAACGAATCTTTCATGACTACTTAGACAAGTTTGTCATCGTGTACCTTGATGACATACTTAGCTTTAGTAGGACTGTCGAGGAACACGTTGGTCACTTAGACAAAGTCCTTAGTCTCCTACGACAGCACCGGTTCAAGATCAATGGGAAGAAACGTGAGTTTGGTCGCACCCCGATCTTGTACCTGGGTCATGAGATTTCCACAGAGGAATTGAAGCCCGATGACGCGAAGGTGGCCAGCATTCGTGACTGGCCGCGTCCTCAGTCTGTGACTGAGATGAGGTCCTTCCTAGGGATGACCGACTACTACCGCAATTTTGTTAAGAACTATAGCACAGTGGCCGCCCCTTTGACGGACTTGACCCGCCTTGACACCCCATGGGAGTGGACAGACAGGTGTGAAGCTGCTTTCAGACATCTTAACCATGCTCTGACGCACCACGAGGTCTTGAAACTTCCTCATCCTGACAAGCCGTTTATATACTAACCACGAACGCTAGCCAATATGGCATAGGCATCGTGCTCACACAGCAGGAGGGGCCAAAGTGGAGGCCTGTTGAGTACATGTCCAAAAAGATGCCCTCTCATAAGTTGGGAGCTCTATGTGATTTATAAAGCGCTAACCCACTGGAGGCACTACCTCCTTGGGAGGTTCTTCTACGTCAGGACTGATCATTAGACCCTGAAGTGATGAGAACCGAGCTAGTGCTCTCTGACGCATTAAAAAGATGGATCAAAGTCATTGAGCAGTATGACTTCGAACCTCAATACATTAAAGGAGAGTACAACATAGTTGCTGATGCGTTGTTGCGTAGGCCAGACTTCCTCGGTGCGCTGATCACTGAGTTTGGGATTGCGGAAGATGTTACTCGTTCTTTGGTGGAAGCGTATCGCGAGGATCCGTTTATGGCTGAGATCATACGCAGACTCGAGGCGAAGGACAAAGCGACTTCTGTCGAGTTTGAGTTGGTCAACGTCCTGTTATTCCTTGAGAAGGCCGGTAATAAACGTTTGTGTGTGCCTAATCGGGAGTCTTTGCGTAGTTTATTTTTAGGGGAGTGTCACGATGCCACATGACATTTTGGCTATAAAAAGACTGCAGCCAACTTGTTGGAACAGTTCTGGTGGCCCACAATGATGAGAGACGCCAAGCTATACGTAGAGACTTGTCAGGTGTGTCAAAGAGACAAGCCACGTACACAAGCCCCTCTTGGGCTTCTCAAGCCCCTTCCGATACCGGAAAGGTTTGGTGAGAGCCTGTCCATGGACTTCATGGATACGCTGGTCACCAACAAGAGTGGAATGCGATATCTCTATGTCATTGTGGATAGGTTTAGCAAGTATGCTAGGTTAGTCGCAATGCCTGCAACAGCCAAGACGGAGTACGTGATTAAGCTGTTCAAAGAGAACTGGGTTAGGGATTTCGGGTTGCCAAAGTCCATCATTAGTGACCGGGATGTGCGATTCACCAGTGAACTGTGGAAGGCCGCAGCTGCAGAACAAGGGACACAACTGCAGATGACCTCCGACAACCATCCAAAGGCAAACGGACAAGCAGAGCAGCTGAACCGCGCTGTTCAACACCTGCTGACTCAGTGCTGAGGCATTATATCAAGCCCAATCAGGTGGACTGGGATGAGAAACTTGCTCTCATCGCCAGTCTGTACAACAACGCTGTGCACAGTGCGACAAGGGTGAGCCCCAACAGCCTGCTACTGACTTTCAAACCTAGACTGCCCTCGGATTTTCTACTACCTGAGAATCAGCCTTCTGCTGCACCAGGCACTTTAGAGTTTGCATATCGATACGAGCGCTTGATGCAGCAAGGTGTAGCTCAGATACACAAAGCGCAGGCGGCGATGATAGAGTCAGAGAACAAGCATCGCCACCCATCCACATTCCAAGTAGGGGACAAAGTTTGGGTCAAGTCCTCAGAGTTGGGACAAAAGCACGGGATATCCCGCAAACTCATGCCACAATACTTTGGACCCTGGGAGGTTTTAGATATCGTCGGGGATGATTCTGATGGGCCATCGTATGTAGTTCAGATTCCTTGTCATCTTCACACTTACCCTGTCTTCCACGCCTCTAAGCTTGCACCTTTCAATGAAACTGGTCAGTTTTCCTCACGACGCTCAATGCTGCCCCCAACCATGGATGGAGAGGTCGACATCGACAACATCGTGGACCATATGGAAACGCCAGTTCCAAGACCAACGGGCAGAGGACGTCCTCCTAAACCGAAGTTGCAATATCGCGTTTGGTTCAAACATCACATTGATCCTAAGGAGGACAAATGGTTTACTCGGGAGGAACTAATGCAGACCGCTCCACAGGCTGTTGCTCACTACGAGAAGTTACTGCAGAAAGGAAAGCGCCAGATTAAGTAATAAAACTTCTCGGACTGTCGAAGTATGGAGGAGGGAATGACCCTGCAAGCATCACAGTCGGCCTGCCTTCGGCCGCCCTAAGTGAAGGCAGGCCCGACCAAGGCCAGCAAACATCTTTTCTCGAGTACCCCACTATAGTTGTGCAACACCAGTTGGTTGAAAGCGCCCAGGCCCTGGCTGCTTTTATGAAATGCATCTGAGGCAGGCCCTGGGCGAGATACACAACATGGACCCAACACAGGCTGCAGGCAGTTGGGCACGAGTAACTGCCATAGGCCCTGGGCCTGATTCGTTCCAACTGGGGCTCAGCCTCCCGGGGCCTACCGGAAGCTTCTGGGTCGGGGCCTGGTGCAGCCAGGTTGCATGCAGCAGGAAGGCCACTTCCATTTAGGAAAGTGCCTGCCCCCGCATTCGGAATTCGGGCACTGGCTGCATGCTGCGCAAGCGCTGTTGCGCTAATCGCTGGCCAGGCCCACGTGCTCACGGGCGAGCAGGGACAGCAGGCAGCCATAGCCGAGATGCGTTGCATTGTGCTGGATGGGGCGCATGCTGGTCCTTGGGTGCATGTGGCATCTGTGAGTGGGGGATCGAGGTTGTGAGTGATACGAGAGACATACCTGGTGCTTAAGGCGAACGACATTGGCTGAGATCTGCTCGTCCTTCAGGGAGTTGCTGACATCGCCAACGACATTGTAGATAGGCTAGATAAGATCTGACATTTGTAGTCTGGGCGCAGGGCGCCAGATAAGATGCCGACATTGGTTCTTTGTTGATGATGATGAGACTATTCCAACATTGTCACTTATGAGCTTTTGCTGTGCTCTTATTTGGTGAAACTCGTGTTGCAATTCTGCTTTTGGTTCAGGTCAGGACTATCTGGTCTCATGTGTATGATGCTGCTTGGTTTCTGAAGTTCACTATCGCTCATTTTCCTTGCACCTGGAATAACTTCTTGAATAATGCCTCACCACAGATTGACTTGCGAGTCCGTAATTACGTGGAACAATTAGATGAAGCTCTCTGCTAGAGACTTAAAGACCCCGCCATGATAAAGAAATTGAAGATTGGTGGTGGGGGAGGGGATGTAGGCGACGATGGCGATGATGGAGATAAGAAAAAGAAGGGTCCCAAGAAGGACGGGGACAACGAAGCGGAGGAGTCCAGGCAGGAGATGAAGGTGAAACTGCCATGGATGTATACAGGGAAGAAGGAAGAGAGCATCTTCCACTGGGAGGCGGCCATAGATACATACTTATATGCACAAAAGATTCCATACTGGGACCACGTATTAATGGCAAGCTCATGTATGGCAGGGGATGCCATTAGCTTTCCCATCTCTTTGATGAAAGAGGCTGGCTGCGTTTCCATGGTCCAATACTCGCAACGAACACGTATTGAGGATTTCTTCAGGGCCCTTAGGGAGAGATTTGAGGATAAGAACCTGACCCGTAGGAAAGAATCCTTGATTTTTAACATAAGTGACCGCAAATGGAAGAGTGCGTCGGCACTTAAGGCCACAATGGACGAATTGCTGCAATGCCCGGACCATGGACGGGTGCCTACACAAATACTAAATAACTTTGCACGAGCACTCCCAGAACCCTTGAAAACACAGTTATATTCCTGAACAAAGGAAGAGGGAATGACCTACGAGAAGTTCAACAAGATTGCAGTGGATCAAGCTGGTTTTCTACAGGAGGCCCAATACTGCCATTATTGGAAGGACCTACAGGCCGGTAAGAAATGGAAAGACCGTGTGATCTCAGGAAATATAGCAGGAAAAGACAACCTTTTGGTCACCTTTGAAGGAGTGGAATCACTCACTTATGACCAGATGGATTACAGATTGGAAGAAGATAGCAATATTCACTTAGCCCAGGGGGGGACTATGTGGCTGTTGCAGCCCGCGAGGGAGGGTGACAAGGGGGAAGAGGCCGTGGAAGAGGAAGAGGAGGTCGCGCCCGTGGTGGAGGAAGAGAACCCGCTGCCCAGAGGGGTAGTGGCGAAGGTAGCTACTACGTGGGAGGAAGGGGAAATGGTCCCTCACAAGGTAGTAGAGGTTCCAACTCCACAGGGGGTAGAGGCAGAGGTAGTTACGGGCGGCCGTATCCACCCCATCCTGGAATTCCCATAGGCAAACCGTGGGAGCAGATGGGGATAGATGAAAAGACTTGGGAAGAGAGGAAGGTCGCTGGACAGTGTTTTAAATGTGGTGACCCCGACCACATTGTTCCTTTTTGTCCCGATTATATGTACCCAAAAGGGAACAGCCAATAGAGGTAGCTGTTGCCTCTACAGGGACTCATGATGCAAGTTGACTGCCATCCTCCCATACACAAATCCCAATGGCAGAGACTGAGACGGTTAAAGGCCCCCACCTAGCTAGTTGTCTGGAGGTTGCTTGTGTTAGGACCTCTCTAGGTGGTTCCCTCGCAAGCATAGGTGATGAACTGATCACTCGTCACCCCGTTCGGGCCGAGGTGAAGAAGAAAAAAGGACAATTAATAATTGCAAATGTAGAGATAACAAGAGTTAGAATTGGCGCGCTAGTGGACAATGGGTCAACACGCAAGTATATCAGTAAGAAAGGTTTGCATAGCTGCGGTTAGCGCTTAAGGTTCAAAAGTTAGAACAGCCCGTCGTAAGTACGTTAGTCGATAATAGAGAGATGATTGTAGATAGCTACGTCGAGGGGGTTAGAGCATACTTCCGGTTGGAGGCAGGGGGTAAGGCGGAACGTATTCTGCACTCCCTATCACTCTTAGTGGAGGACATTCTTCCCTTTGACTTGATATTAGGAACTAACTGGGGCGAAGCCGCGGATGCAGACATCAAACTGGGTGAGCATGAGTGTTATCTCCCTAGTCCCTAAGGTGGGAAAAAGAAGGTACAATTGTTCCATGCGTCCGGTGCAGAGAGTAGCTTAGCCCATTGTTCCAAGAGTGCCCCTGCATTTGCCCGACATGTGGCCAAGAACGGCCTTGCGGACTAGGTCTTTGTTGCGTATGTGCGCCCGGTGACTGAAGAAGAAAGAAAGGTAGAACCTGTTCCCCCCGAAATACAAAAATTGCTGAGTGAATTTGCAAATGTGGGAGAAGCCCCGAGTGAAGTGATAGAGAGAGATAAAACACCGAATCGATTTTGAACCCGATAGCAGAATACCCAAGGGCCTGATTTATAGAATGTCTCCCAAGGAACTGGACGAACTGCGGAAGCAGTTAGATGAATTGTTAGAAAACGGGTGGATTAGACCAAGTTCTTCACCGTTTGGTGCCCCGGTGCTGTTTGTGCGAAAGAAGGGTGGCGAGTTGCGCATGTGCATAGACTACAGGGGACTGAATGCTATAACTGTGAAAATTGCAGAACCACTACCTAGGATAGATGATCTGTTGTATAGGGTGCAAGGTTGCAAGTATTTTTCAAAAATCGACTTGAAATCTGGTTACCATCAGATTGAGGTAGAGCCAGAAGACCAGCATAAGACGACTTTCCGGACTAGTTACGGACACTACGAGTTTGTCGTAATGTCGTTTGGTCTAACTAACGCGGCTGCAACCTTCCAAAGGTGTATGAATGACCTGTTTCGTGATTGGCTTGATAAGTTTGTTGTAGTTTATTTGGATGATATCTTGATTTTCAGTAAAAGTTTGAGCGAACACAGCGAGCACCTTCGAGTTGTGCTAAATAAGTTGCGAGAAAGCAAATTTAAGATTAACCCCAAGAAGTGTGAATGGGGAAAGCGCCAGGTTTTGTACCTTGGGCATATGGTTGATGGTGATGGGATTAACCCAGAAGACGCTAAGATTGCAGCCATTAGAGATTGGCCTAACCTACTTACCCTAACCGAACTGCGTTCGTTCCTTGGTCTGACCAACTATTACCGCAAGTTCGCTCGGAACTTTACGGTAATTGCTGCCCCATTACGCAAACTGTTGAAGAAGGAAACTATCTGGAAATGGGATCAGGACTGCACTGCGTCCTTTAAGCGTCTAAAGAAGTGCATCCGGTGTTGAATGTTGCAGATCCATCTTTGCCTTTCATAGTGACAACTGACGCCAGTTAGTACGGGATAGGGGCCGTACTCCAGCAAGATGATGGGAAGGGGTACAGGCTAGTGGAATATACGTCCCGTCGACTGCCTAGTGAGAAGGTCGCCGCTTCCACGTACGAAAGAGAGTTGTTTGCTCTCCGGGAAGCTCCGAGTCACTGGCGACACTATCTACTTGGACGCCACTTCAAGGTGTACTCTGATCATGAGACACTTCGCTATCTTAAAACGCAGGCCCGTATGACACCTAAACTGACTAGGTGGGCCGCTGAGAATGATCAGCTTGACTTCGAGTTGAATCCAGTTAAAGGGAAGTATAACGTAGTCGCTGATGCTCTAAGTAGGAGATCGGACTTTTTCGGTGCCATTGTGACATGCATAGACACAAGCACCGAATTGCAAGAGAAAATAAAGTCTGCTTATGCAAGTGATCCAGTCTATAGCCAATTGATGGGCAAGGTGCAGACTGCACCAAACAAAGTCCCGATTATAGGGTGACGTAGGGATTGCTGTTTGAGAAAGCAGACGTCCATGACCGATTATGCGTCTCGAACAATGAAGAAGTTCGCAGGATCGTACTTGGGGAAAATTATGACACCGAGGGGCACTTCGGATGGAGAAAGACTTATGCAAACCTCCTACGCTCCTACACGTGGCCGGGAATGAAGCATGACTGCATTTCCTACGTGCAAGGCTGTCAAGTATGTCAAAGGAACAAGAGTTCCACACAGCCTCCCCTTGGATTGCTCAAACCGTTGCCTATACCGTCAGGACCTGGGGATTCCGTGTCTATAGACTTTATGGACACTAAGATCAGAAGCAGAAATGGTAAGAGTCAAGTTATGGTTGTGGTAGACCGATTTAGTAAATTTGCTGTTTTTGTTCCACTTCCCGCTAAAGCAAGAATGGATCTGGTAATTTGAGAATTCTTTAATCATTGGGTAAAAGATTTTGGGCATCTCTTAACCATTGTTAGTGACAGAGATACTCGATTCACAGGTGAACAGTGGCG